ACATAATAATTAATACATACACACGCTCTATCATGCTGACGCAAACAGACTCATATTCTAACTCACATACACGCACAAGAGAGAGAGAGAGAGAGAGAGAGAGAGAGAGAGAGAGAGAGAGAGAGAGAGAGAGAGAGAGAGAGAGAGAGAGAAGACTGACAGACAGACAAACCGACAAACAGAGAGACAGACAGAGAAAGGGGAGTACTATAATTGTAAAGATCCACATTGTGAGAACATTAAAAATAAGATTCTAAAATGAAAAAATTAGAAAAACCCAACTCTTCGCACCTGGGGATAATAAAAATTTGGGGGGGAAAATGGGCTGGTGGGATTTAATTTTACGCACTGTCTACCATCGCTGTCTCTTGTTCCCCCAGCTTAACATCAAACGAAACACTGAGGGCTCGGGCAGATTTGCCCATGTGTAAAAAACAAAGCAAAAAACAACAGAACGCAACATGGACAAAATATGCGTCTGAATTTTCAAAGAAATAAATGAAACGAAGCAAGAAATGTCTTAACAGCGTTAAAAAAGCCCACCACATAACCGTCGCCCATTATATTTCGATAATCATTGCCGCACGGCGAACAAACAACCCTTGCCGTGAAGAAAAAAATAAAGTGGGGGAATCTTTTCTTCGCCAATATTTATTGTATCCGTGAAAGGAGGAAACGGCGATGTTTTAATCAGCATGTTGGGTTGGGTTTTACCAAGACTGTGGGGCTAGAAATAAAAGATTAATAGCAGTCTGGAAAGATATTATCACCATCAAAAAGAACAGAAGAAAACGTAGTATGTAATTTATCCCCCCCCCCGCCTTTCTGTATAATTTTCTGTAGTACGCGTACCTTTCCTTCGCGTTATTGTGGGTTTTTAAAAAAACTAAAGCGCCGTGTGACTCGTGTTTAAACCTATACACGGCTGTCGCAATATATATATTTTTTTAGCCTTTTCACACGTATCCCATCGTGAGTCATAAATAAACGCGACATTGTTTTCGCCTCGTTCCCATTCCCCTCCCCTTTTTCGAGGAAAATCTGATCC